TAAAAATTTTCTGCATGGCTCTTCTATACATGTGCAGATCATTCTAGAAATTCTGAGCCAGTCATGGTGGTTCACGCCTATAGTCTCAGCTACTCTGGAGGATCACTTGAGCCCAGGAGTTCGAGGCTGCTGTGAACTCTAATTGCTACTGCCCTACAGCCTGGGCGACAGAGGGAGGCCTTGTCTCTTAAAAAAAAAAAAAAAAAAAAAAGAAAGCCGCTACTAACATTATTTTCCCAGAATTCAGTGCTCAAAGACTGTATACAATTCTCAGATCCCTAAATTCCTTTATCTCATTAACTATTCTCACTCCCTCTCTGCCTGTAGCCAAGATATACCTGTAACACAGGCAATTAGTTCTTACCCATATTCTAAAGAAGGAGGATAGGGAGAGGCCACTGAAAACCTCAGGGAACTGATCATAGGATTTTTCCTAACAGATTGGTGGCCTCAAAGCATCTATAAACAAACAGCCTGCCTCTAATTTTAAGTGATATTTCTTACATCATTACCTACCTTGTTATGCACATTACAATTGCTACTATAATGGCGATCTGTACAGCTCCAATAATTGCTGCAATAAGAACATGAGTGAGCTTTTGCCTACTTGGCACTACATAGAGAATACTAAAGTCTGTCTTTTCACAGTGCTGTCCAGTGTAGCCAGATTCACATCTGAAAAGGAAAAAAATATATATTCTTATGAAAATTACAAATTTTGATACTCCCAAGTTTTTACATTAAAATATACAAAACAGTAATAAAATTTAAACAGGAATAGGAAATCAAGCATTTTCGTACCATCTGGGGGAAAAAAATGCCATTTGTATATTTCCCTACTGTCTTTTTGCCATATCTACATGGTGCTTCTTTCACCTAAGTTATATCACATTAATTTTAAAGTTGCTAAATATTATTAATATATCTCTTTTTTGTCATTGCTGCTTTTTGCTTTTGGTGTCATATCTAAGAAATTACTGCCTAATTTAAAGCCACAATGATTTACTCATTTTTTTTTCATTTTTTAAATTAAATTTACTTAAAAATTGACAAATAAAATTACATACATTTATCATGTACAACAGGGGTCCCCTACCCCTGGGTCATGACCGCTATTGGTCCATGGCCTGTCAGGAACCAGGCCACACAGCAGGAAGTGAGTGGTGGGCAAGTAAGCAAAGCTTGTCTGCATTTACAGCCACTCCCCATCACTCCCATTACCACCCAAGCTCCACCTCCTGTCAGATCAGCAGTGGCATTAGATTCTCACAGAAGCACAAACCGTATTGTGAACTGCGCACACAGGGATCCAGGTTATGTACTCCTCATGAGAATCTAATGCCTGATGATCTGTCATTGTCTCTCAGCACGCCCAGATGGGACAGTCTAACTGCAGGAAAAACAAGCTCAGAGTTCACACCGATTCTACATTATAGTGAGTCATATCATCATTTCATTATGTATTACCATGTAATAATAATAGAAATAAAATGCACAATAAATGTAATGCACTTGAATCAGCCCCAAACCATCACCCCCACCCTCAACCCCCAGTCCATGGAAAAATCTTCTTCTATGAAACTGGTCCCTGATGCCAAAAAGGCTGGGGACCGGTGATGTACAACATGATGTTTGGAAACGTATAGACGTTGTGGAATGGCTAAATCAAGCTAATTAACCTATGCATTACCTCATATAGTTACCATGTTAGTGGTGAGAATACTTAAAATCTGCTCTTTGCATTTTTTAAAAAATAGATACATATAATTTCTAAATAGAAATATAATACTCCATCCAGTAACTGTAATATAGCTAGCTTATCTATTCCCAGTTCTAAGACATGTCAGTTATTTTCAATTTTTCACAATTATAAATTAGATGTGGTAAACATCTTGGTGAATATGCACTTTTCTATATTTAGTATTATTCCTTAGGCCTAAATACCTGAAAGTTAAGACTATTGAAAAAGTAGATATAAACATTTACAGTTCTCTGAACATAGCACCAAATTATATTCAAGACACTTTTCAGTGTATAAAATATAAACTCGTAAGATGCAAGGGAAAGATGAAAATAAGTTATTAACGACAGAAACAATGTCAAGCAGTCAAGGAGGTGCTAATCTTAGAAATTATCTGAATTTCAATTAAAAGTAGATAAAAAGGCAACTGTATCAGCTGATGATAATTTGACAGGGAGAAATATTTAAGACACTTAACAGACAATTTACATTTTTAAGCTGACAGAAGTGAAATGTATAAATTACCCAGCCTTCAGTTATAATTGATTAATAAAACATTTGAAGTGTAAAAATAGTGTATGTATTAATGTCCCACAACTGATTAAAAAATAATTTGAGGCAGCTTATCATAAAGCACACACACAAAAAATAATGTGAGAGGAGGAAAACCGGAAAATCCAGGGGGGATATGAGTCTATCAATCCAGTCCCTGAGGTTCCTAGACACTTCCCAGTACATTTCACACTGGGCTCTACGCTTCCCAGCAAACAGCAACGACAACAAAAAAAAAAAAAACAAGCAGTGGGAAGATATATAGATCATGGAAGAGAATTGAGAGCCTAGAAATAAACCCATACATCTATGGCCAATTGATTTTGAGAAGGGTGCTAAGATAACTCAATGGGGAAAGAATTGTCTCTTCAACAAACAGTGTTAACTGGATATCCACATGCAAAAGGATGAAGCTAGACCTCTTCCTCATGTCATACAGAAAAATTGCCTCAAAATGGATCACAGATCTAAATGTAAGAGCTAAAACTATACAACTCTAAGGAAAAAAACATAAGATACAGTTATTATGGAAAACCGTATGGAAGTTCCTCAAAAAATTAAAAATAAAACTACCATATGATCTAGCAATCTCATTAATGGGTATACAACTAAAGGAAATAAAATCAGTATGTTGAAGAAATATCTGTACTCCTATGTTTATTGCAGCATTATTCACAATAGCTAAGATATGGATTCAATCTAAGTGTCCATTAACGAATAAATGGATAAAATAATGAGGTATATATACAAGATGGAATACTATTCAGCCATAAAAAAGAAGGAAATTCTATCATCTGCATGGATGAACCTATAGAACATTATATTAAGTGAAATAAGCCAAGCACAGAAAGACAAACACTGAGTGATCTCACTCATATGTGGAACCTAAAAAAGTTGATCTAATAGAAGCAGAGAGTTACCAGGGGCTGGGGTGGTAGGAGGTGGCTGAGGAGATGCTGGGTCAGGGGATATTAAATTTCAGTTAGAAGGCAGGAATAAGTTCAAGAGATGTGGTGTACAACATGGTGACTATAGTTAACAATGCAGTGTATTTTTGGAAAATGCTGAGGATTTTAAGTGTTCTCACCACAAAAGTGGTAACTTTGTGAGGTAATGCATATGTTAATCAGCTTGATTAGCCATTTCACAATGTATATATATTTCCAAACATGAGGTATACAATAAATATAATTTTGTCAATTTTTAAATAAATTTGATTTTATAAAAAGAATAAAACATAGGAGTAAATCTTTGTGGCCTTAGATTAGGCAATAATTTCTTAGATAATCTGACACCAAAAGCAAAAGCAACAACAACAAAAAAAAGATAAATAGCACTAAATCAAAATTAAAATCTTTTGTACTTGAGGACATTATCAAGAAAGTTGAAAAGATAACCCACAAAATGGGAAAAAAAAGTTACATATATCTGCTAAGGGACTTATATCTAGAACATACAATGAACTAATACAACTCAATAATAGCCAAAAAATAAAATAAAAGAGCAAAGGATGTATACTGACATTTCTCCAGAGAAGATATACAAATATTCTCAACATCATTTGCCATCACGGAAATAAAAATCAAAGCCACCATATATATCACTTTACACTTACTGAGATAGCCTGAGTCAAAAAGTCAGATAATTACAAGTGTTGACAAAGGAACTGTAGGGCATGTAAAATGGTCTGGCAGTTCCTCAAAATGTTAAACACTGGGTTACCATTTGGCCCAGCAATTCTACCACTAAGCTTTACCCAAGTGAAATTAAAACACGTTCACACAAAAAGTTGCAAATAATCATTCAGAGCAGCATTTTTCATAATAACCATAAAGTGTAAAGAACCTAAATTTTTCTGATGATGAGTAGATTAAAAACGTACAGTGTTATCCATACAATGGAATAGTATTCAGCCACAAAAATGAAGTACTGATATGTGTTATAACATGGACGAACCTAGAAAATATTACGCTAAGTGAAAAAAGCTAGACACAAAAGACCTTATACTATATGGTTCAATTTATATAAACTATCCAGAATAGATAAGTCTATAGAGATAGAAAATAAATTAGCAGGTGCCTAGGGCTAGGGAGCATGAGGAGATTTGGGAGTAAAAGCTAAAGGGTATGAGGCGTCCTCTTGGGGAGATGAAAATGTACTAAAATTGATTGTAGTGACAGTTGTACAACTCTGTGCATATACTAAACACCAATGGATTGGGAAGAAAGGAAGAAAGGAAAGGAGGAGAGGGGAAGGGAGGGGAGGGGAGGGAGTAGGACAGTTGCCACAAAATACAATCTACGTAAAATAAAATCAAACAAGTTGTTCAAAAGAGGCACAGTTATTACTGTTATGAAACTTAAGGGAACTTTATCTCATTGGTCCTCATTTAAAGAGGGCACCTTCTAACATAAAGAACATTATCCTCAGCAACACAGCTGCAGTAAACTCAATGATATAATGGAATTTCATGGGATTTTTAAAATAATGTCCTTCATGGTATGCTAATGGCCAATAGTCAAAGCTCAGTAAAATAAAAACAGTTCCATTGGGAGCTGTAACAATGTCCTAGATATGCAGCTCTCTAATGGTTTGGCCTAAGCCAAAGATTAAAATCAGAGAATCAAAAAGAATGTATAGGCCATGTATCATTCCTGCAGTTGTCCCTGGATGTTATTTTCTCCAACTGACTTTTGGTTATACTATGTGATATGGTTTGGCTGTGCCCCATCCAAATCCCACCTTGAATGGTAGCTCCCACAATTGCCACGTGTCGTGGGAGGAACCTGGTGGGGATTATGGGGGTGGGTCTTTCCTGTACTGTTCTCATGATAGTAAATGAGTCTCACAAGATCTGATGGTTTTAAAAACGGGAGTTTCCCAGCACAAGCTCTCTCTTTGCCGGATGTCGTCCACGTTAAGACGCGACTTGCTCCTCCTTGCTTTCCGCTATGATTGTGAGGCCTCCCCAGCCACGTCAAACTGTGAGTCCAGTTAAACCCTTTCTTTTGTAAATTGCCCAGTCTCAGGTATGTCTTTATCAGCAGTGTGGAAACACTCTCCCAATACCTAGAGTACTAATTTCTAGGTTATTTGTTTTTATTGTTACTGCTTAAAGGCAGATCCAGGGGTTCAGTCCTCTACCTTCTACTTTCATCCCACACACCTTCCACAGGCAATCCTATTCACTCCCACTGTCTTATGTGTGAATTCATTCACACATCCATTTACCACAATTATTGAGCACCTGCTATGTGCCACCTATTGTAGCGAGCATTTGGGATGTATCGGTGAACAGAACAGATAAAGATCCCTGGCCTGCTTACCAGCTACTGGGAGAAGAGTGTCAGTAAACAAAGTAAGTGAATTAAATGGTTATGTTAGAAGGTGATATGTACTACAGGGGATGTAGGGTGTGGGGTGTTAAGGGAAACTGCAAACACCCAGGTAGCCAGGAAAATTAAAGGAAGGGAGGGTTGCAATTTTAAATAAGGCACGCCAGGTAGGTTATTTAAGAAAGTAACCTGTGAGTAAAGACTTGAAGGAGGTGAGGAGTCTGCTCTGCAGACAACAGGAGGACAGTATATCAGGCAAAGGAAGAGCCAGTGCAAGTTCCCTAAGGTGGGAGCATCCATGCATGCATGGCATGCCCAAGAACAGCAGGTGTGGCTGGAGAGGAGGGGATGAGGGGGAGGTAAGCAAGACAGAGAGGTGAAGAGACAAACTGCATAGGGTCTTCTGCACTTAGTGAGATGAAGGAACCGCCAGAAGGGTTTCAGCAGAGGAATGATATGAACTGACTTTTATTTTAAAAGGCTCACTCTGTACTTTGGGAGGTGAGGCAGGTGGATCATCTGAGGTTAGGAGTTCAAGACCAGCCTGGGAAACATGATGAAACCATCTCTACAAAAAATGCAAAAATCTGCCTGGCCAATGTGGTGAAACCCCATCTCTACTAAAGGTGGTGCATGCCTGTAACCCCAGCTACTCGGAAGGCTGAAGCACAAGAACTGCTTGAACCCAAGGGGCAGAGGCTGCAGTGAGCTGAGATCACACCACTGTACTCCAGCCTGGCAACAGAGCGAGACCCTGTCTCAGGAAAACAGGCAGAAGGCTCACTCTGTCTGCTGTTTTGATTATGGACTGCAGAAAACAATCACAGAGGCTATTGCAAAAATCCCAGGGAGATGTTGGCCTGCACTAGGAATAGCACTGACAATGGAGAGAAGTAATCAAATTCTGGAGACATTCTGAAACAGAATTCCCAGCTGACTGGATAAGAAAGAGAAGTCAAAGATATATCAGAGGGGTGTTTTGTCTGAGCAACTGAAAAGATGAAGTTGGAATCAGCTGAGATGAAAAAGGTGGCAGGTAAAGCAGGTTTAGGGAGGGAGAGCAGATCAGGAGATCGGCTTTAGTCCTATTGAGATCGAGGTGTCAGACATCCATGTGGAAATGTAAAGGAGGCATATGGATCTACAAGTTTCAAATTCAGGAGAGAAGTCTGGGATTTATGTAAATTAGGAGGAATTATTAGCATATGTCATGGAAAGCCCTGAGACTGGACAGAATCTCTAAGGGAAGAGGACTAAGACTGAACCCTGATACACAACTACTGAGGGGTCAGGGAGCAAAGTGGGAAGCAGCCAAGAAAACTGGAATGTCCAGCAAGGTAGGAAAAAACAAGAGACAGTATAATTCTTGACACCAAGTGAAGAATGCATATCACACAGGAGGGGGTGATCTACTGTGTCAAATGCTACTGATTATTCAAAAGTAATTTCACAGTAAGTACTGACCATTGAATTTAGAAATGAGAACAGTGTCAGTGAAGTGTTAGGGACAAAAGCTTGTTGGGGTGAGTTCAAAAGAAATGGGAAGTGAGGAACTGGAAATAGACTTTAGACAACTCTTTCAAGTTCTGTGAAGGAAAGGAAAGAAACAGGACTGTAGCTGGTGGGAATGAGAATGAGTTTTTTCCGAGATAGAAGAAATAAAAGTTTATCAATTTATATGAGATATACTGACATCAAGTTCTATGATACGGAGAAAAAGGGAGAGGATTGCTGGTAGATGATAGTGAAAGGGTGTGAAAGTTCTCCTCATATTGTTCCATTTTCTCCGTGAACTTGGAAAGAAGATCAATAACCAAGAGTGAGGATGAGAAAGGAGGTACTGCCAATCTGAGGAGAGAGGAGAAGGTACAAAGTAATCCTATAGGAGAGGAGGAGAATGGATAAACTGCAGCTGTAGAATGACTGCCCTGGCAGAACAAAGGGCCCACCTTGAGACCTATAGGTATGTCAGTGAGAGAAGTTAATCTGGTGGTGTGCCTCTCACCAACAGCGATGTGAAGCTGCATGTACAGGTATGCAGCGTGTGGAGAGCTGGGATGAACCAGGACTACGGTTTTGTCAAGTGAGTGTGATGAAGCAACAGAGAAATGAGGGATTCAAATAAAAGGGAACTATAATGATTGGCCATGGAATTTATGCTAATGAGGGGAAAAGAATATCCAGGGAGTGAGGGACACTGAAAAGGTGAAAGGATCAATAAAACTGAAGGGCTAGTGGGATAGAATAGCTAGGTAGAAACTAGAATGGATATGCTACAGAGGGAATGATTCTCAAATGTATGTCTTCAACTACATCTCTCTCATCAGTTCCAAAACCAAACTATATCCAGAGCAGCCCACTAGATATCTGTAAGCAGATATCCCACAGGCATCTTAGACCAAGCACATCAATCTGAACATATCATTTCCCCCAAAACCTTTTCCCTCTTTCCAATGCATTTCCCACTCAATCTTGCCTTAGCCAGAAACCCAGGAGATTCTCCTGACTCTTCATCCAACTAACCTCTACCAACCCTCACGTTCTCATGCTCATATCCAACCGAACGGGTCAGTCACCAACATTTGTGAGTTCAACCACCTAATGATCTCTCTGCAATCCATTTACTTTCTCAACCTCTCAACAATTCCTTTATACTTAACTCAGGCCCTTCCTTCTTATTAAGTCTTCTAAATTTTCTAATCTACGTTCCACAGTGTCACCAGAGTGGTCTTCAGATTTATCACTTCATTGCTACTTAAAATCTTCTAATGGTATCTTACTGCCTTTAAAATAAAAGCCAAGCTCCTGGGATGGCCCAAACGTTCCTGTGAGACCTGATCCTTCCTCCAACAATGTCCTCCACCCATCTTCAGACTGAAGTGCCTTTTCTGAAGTCCCAAATCACCTCATGTATACCTGTGTATGACAGCATTGTTCATATTATAATTACTTGTCAGTCTCTTCCACCAGACTATATGCTTTTTAAAGGCAAGATCCTGGATTTCTATCATATTTGAATTTGATACCCCGATATCAGAGAGATTTTGGCATTAATAAGTCAATCAATCAATCAATCAAAAAACAGGTGGGATGCAGTGGCACCTGAGGTCAGGAGTTCAAGACTAGTGTGACCTACATGGCAAAACCCTGTCTCTACCAAAAATACAAAAATTAGCTAGGCCTGGTAGTACATGCCTGTAATGCAAGCTACTAGGGAGGCTGAGGCAGGAGAATCTCTTGAACCTGGGAGGTGGAGGTTGCAGTGAGCCGAGATTGCGCCACTGCACTCCAGCCTGGGCAACAGAGCAAGACTCCATCTCAAAAAAAAAAAAAAAAAAAAATCAATGGTGCCATAATGCTAGAAGATTTTAACCTAATAATAGGACTGTGGCTAAAAGCTGTTTATTCTTGCCTGTTTACTGCTATGCACACACACCTCCCTACTAGCAGAAGTGCAAATGATGTCATGGCCTGATTCCTACAAATACTGTGCAGACTCAGACAAAAGAAAAAGATCAGCTGCTTTTAAGGCATAATAGTTGTGTAGAAAAGGGATTCTTTAGCATTTAAGATACTCCTCTGGTATGAAGAAAAGGAAAAAATGTATCGTCATTACATGTCATTCAAAAATATTTACTGAGTACCTAGTGGGCTAGGTCCTACACTAGGCACAGGGAAAAGAGTAGTGGTTAACAAAACAAAGAGTCCCTGACTAATGGGCTTACAGTCTAATAATATCAACTGCTATTCACTAAGCAGATATATATACCAGGTATTAGGCAAGCACTTTACACATATTATCGTGCTTAATTTTAACAACATATGAGATAGATATTATTACTATTCTACTTTAAGAACGTAGAAAATTTGAGGCTTAGATATTTTATGTAACTTCCAAAGAACACACAGCCAATAACTGGCCAAGTCAGTGTATCCAAATCCAAAGCCTTTAACCTGTATACCATTCAATCCTCTTACTTTCAATTAGTAAAATACAAGAAAATGACCTGGTATCACATCATTATCAGAACATGATCCTCTCTCTCATCCTTCATTTAAGAATCTTGAAAGATGCACCATCCTAAGAGAACCAGATCCAAACTTCTATCAAGATATAAATGCCACTCTGGGACAAACATGAAAAGCCAACTGTAAGATTTGGTATTAAAACTGGCCTGGGCCGGGCGCGGTGGCTCAAGCCTGTAATCCCAGCACTGTGGGAGGCCGAGGCGGGTGGATCACGAGGTCAAGAGATCGAGACCATCCTGGTCAACATGGTGAAACCCCGTCTCTACTAAAAATACAAAAAATTAGCTGGGCATGGTGGC